TCAACTTACAGGTTTAATATGTATGTAACGAGAATGCGCAGAAAGAAAGGTGAAAAATGGAAAAAATAAATCTTTACTATTCACATTATTTAATTATAATATGAACTGAATACATCTTTACAACTTATAGTATAAATAAAACAGTAAAACAACAAAATTGTGTTAATAATATTGTTTTTTGTTAATATTATTGTCTTTTAGAGTAACTATAATACATATAATAATAGTACGTATAATATCGCTAGTCTGGAGCATTAGAGTCATATCTAAAAAAATATCATTTTTCAGGAGAGCTTCTCAAAGATTGGCAAAAATACCCACAAGTAGAAATGGCATTTTTGGCGAAAAATGGTATTTTTAAGATATGCCTCTATTGTTCCGGACTAGCGATATATTAAAGTGATATTAATAAAATTACAAATAATGTAAATATAATATTTATGGTTCAAATTAATCAGTTTGGTGAATCATGGTGTATGCAATCTTTTTGCATACAACATTATTTTCATGATCATCATATTTGTGGTCAAATATTTTTCCTTTCATTGTTATTCCTTTCCTTTCATTGTTATCCCTTGTTAAATGCAAAAAATGCGAGCAGAATGTGCTATGTGAAGAATTGCTGGGTGCGGGCAGCGTAAGCGAGTACGGACATGGTGTGCGCATAGAGGCGTTTGTAATTATTTCTCGAAAATGATAGTTTGGAAAATAACTTTATCACACATGGTTGAATTCGTATTAAAATAACCTTTAATTTGGTTACAAAAAAATTTTAAATTAAAAAAAAAGTGAAGTAGTAGGGGAAACATTAAAAAAAATTTAAAAAAAATTTTTTTGTTACTACTATTATAAAGTTCACTTTATGCCATTTAACTTTGATCTAAAACATTTTTTTCTATCTCTCATAGTTTCGACGATATTCACGTCGGAAGAAAAAAACCGATTTTTTTCAAGGGGTGATTTCATCCCTTCAAAACGGAATTGAGCACCAACGAAAAATAGTTTCATGCTACGGATGAACTGCTTTACTTTTACAACAAGAGTCAGATTTTTCTGAATTTTCGGGTTCACAAACTTCCCTTGTGAGACAAACAACTTCTGCAAGCCAGATGTGCCGACTATCATGCGAATCTTCCGGAAGATCAGGGGGCTTAAAAACCAGGAGCGTCAGCGCCGCCGAGAGCACTTCTGCAATAGTCCGCATAGCGACAACCGCACGTTCGTCTTGCGCACTGTTATCCGTAACGTTCGGACCGCGACTAACGGCTAAATACTAGTCGCGCTTGCATTCTGCTTGTTAAACAATAAATCGACTCAATAAACTGCAGACGAGCTCAGTTTATTTCACTCCACTCCTGCCGATTCCCCCTCGGGAGAATCGCCAACGCATATCGCTACATACATATAATATACAGAATATTTTTTGCGAATGGACAGTCATGCATAAACAACTTGCAGATCTACAAAAATTTAATATTGCAAATCCGTGCAAAGAAGATTGTAAAAAAATTATGAAAAAATCTTTTAGCGATAGTGATTTTGATGACTCTGATCAGGAAAATAAAGTTAGAAAATAACAGACACCAAAGTAATTAGAATTTTAATCATTATATGTAAAGTAAACTTTTTTATTATTTAAAATTATTTTATACGTTTTTTTAAGGAAAACCGGCATTACACGAGAAAAACTGTGCAACAAGATATTTTATCTGAACTGAAAACTTCTAATGTCAATTTAAAAGATGATGTATGTGAATCTTTTCATTAACGTTTTTTCAATTATTTATTATCAATTAATTATTATTTAACCTTATTAATTTATATTTTAGTTATTTACTTTGCCGGATGAAAGTGATGAAACATCTTTCACTGATGAGAGTTACGAGTCTGGAAGGAAAAAGAATCAAGAGTCAAACCTTCAAGAAAAAATAAAAATCTTAAAAATAAAAA